AAAGACATCATTAAGGCTCCTTAACATCTGCCTTCATTCCTCTCCTGGCCATCAGATCAGTCACTGGATTCACATCTCAAGATGACTCAACCAAGAAAGTCCTGGGCCTGCTATGGGAAGGGAGATTAATATGCCAAAGTAGTTGCCAGACCTGACTGACAAGAAGCAGATGAGTTTACTTCTGAGTGGTACATGAGTCTAGTAGAAGAATGTAAAGCCAGATAGAGAAGGCTTTGTCACTGTGAGGCACTCTCTTGTGACCGGGGAAATATAACACCTGATACAGGCTCTGGGGAGTTGATTTAAGGCCTATGCTTTTGAAAGTGGTGGCCCACACTAAATGAAGTAGAGACTCAGAATTGCCATGCCAACATGGACAAAAGACTGAAGAAGCTCAGAGCACTGGGCATGCTAGATTGAATCTGCTATATAATTCTGGGAAACCTACCAGCTGACTCTGTCCCTTGGCAGATACTTAGAGGATCAGCAAAGAGCATTCTGTTGCTGGAGCACCAACATTATGGAGAAGCTCAGCACTGGCCACTTTCTGTAGGCCAAGTTCCACCACAGACCTGGCTCCCTAGTTAATAATGGGAATGAGGCCAGGTATGGTAGCAAATGCTTATAATCCCACCACTCAGGAGGATGAAACAAGAGAACTGTGAGTTTGAGGCCAGCCTGGGCTACGTATTAAGACCCTGTATCAAAAAAAAATTAAAACAAAACAGAAAAAAGGGAACAATAGGGTCCCAGAGAAGAAATGGCAACATTTAACTTCCAAAGTAAGGTGGCCATAAGGTCTAAGTGGCAACTTAGAGACCTGATTCACAGGGATCTTGGAAATGACTACAACAGTCTATGGCATTCTTTTTTTTTGTTTTTGGTACTGGGGATCAAACTCGGGTCCTTGTGCTTGCGAGGCAGGGGGCGGAACCATTGAGCTAAATCCCTGGCTCTAAATAATAATTTTTTTAATGTAAGTACATCCTATACATACTGTATCTGGCAATGTGTATATGTTTTCCCAAAAGAAATCCAAGATTAAATGAGCAGACAGTTGAGGTGAGCTTCCTCAATAAAAAGTTACAATTCTCTTTTGAGTTTCTAGCGCTGAGCTAATTCTCATATCCAGAACCAATCAACTAAAAGAAAAGCCAGGTCCTCCATAAGAAAGGCCATTAAAACACCATGACATATGTTCAAAATACAGCAATGATTATACAGTCCTTCGCCACAAGGACCTACCAGAGTAGGTAAACTGGTAGAAATTAAGTGACTGACTATAGGACATCAATTGACCATTAAGCCAGAACTGCCCATTACAAATGAGGCACCAAGTCACAAAGTGGGTGGTACAGCAACAACCCATTGTAAAATGTAATGAGTATAATCTGGATCAGGTGTGAATACAAGGACACAAATTGCAGCTGCTATAGTGCACTGCCCAGATGCCTACCTTATCCAAACTGCTTTCCTCTCATCTCAACCCATGGATGATGATGGGTCATCCTCTGGGACAGCCAACAGAGGGGAACAGATCCTGAGCTTTGACACATGTCAGCTCAGTATGTGAATGGAAGCCCAAATTGGAGTGCTGCAGCCCTGCAGCCCTACCCAGAGGTAGCCTTGAGAGCCCTAGTGAAGGGAATCCTCCCAAAGGGCAAAACATTGTGGCACTGCACCTAGACATCCACTTTATGTGGAAAGGAAAGCAGCCTAATGTTAGACTATGTGGAGACTCATGGACAGTGATGAATGATTTGTAATAGTAAAAGACTGGAGACAGGGAAGGATGGGGAAGGGGCACACGTGTGGACCTATGGGAATCCTTATAAAGTGTGAAAATCTTTGTGTCAAAGGTTAACGCCCATCTGTGGTGGCAATGGTGGAGGCTACACCCGAATGTGGTAGAGTGGGCTCCCACTCACCAAAGCTGATCTATCTACTACCACTACCAAAACAGAGTCAGGGGCTGGGCTCCAGACTGGGCATCATCCTGAAGGAAGCCAGCCAATCACCCCTTGGTGAATGAAATTCATTGGACTCTTCACTTGCTCTTAGCCAAAAGCCCAAGAAGTGATTAATACATTGGACTCTTTCTAAGCCAAACCTGAAAAGGACTCAATTCATTTGATAGGCCTGCTCAATTCATTTGACATATTGTGATACTGGTTTGGCTTTCTTGCCTGCAGGGCCTCAGCTAGCCCTACTATCCAAGAGTTCACACGCTGTCTGACCCGTCAGCCTTGAATCTTGCATACATAACAACAGGCTACTTTACCAAAATGTGTGCCAGTGGACATATGAGCGTGGAATACGTTGGTCCTATCCTGTACCACAGCATCCCCAAGCTGCCAGTGTGATGGATCAATGGACTACCCTTCTAAAGACATAGCTAAGGTATCAATTTAGAAATGACAGCCTGCTAGGATGGGTACTATCCTTCAGGATGTGGTGTATATCTCAAACTTAGGACTGTAATATAGTACTCTGTTCCCAAAAAGTGGAACCTTTGTGTCCAGGAACTGAGGATTGGAAATAGGAGCATCAGTGAGCACCATTACTCCCAGTGACCCCCTTAGAACCATGGTACACAGCTACACCTCTGCCAAAAGACCAGAAGGCAAAAAAATGATTTGCTTTCTTAGCAGAGGGCATCTCTCCTCATCAGCAGGAAATGGCCTGCGGGGAGCTGGGAGAATAGATAGAACCCAAGGGCTCCTTGGACACCTCTTGGTCCCCACCAGGCAATGCTGATGGTAAGTGGGCAAGAGCAGTAGCTGCAGCCTGAATAGGCTGTGATGACCAGGGACTCAGACTCTTCCAGCTATGTCTTCCCTTAGGTCAGCAGAGGTGCCAGCTGGGGCTGGGAGTGACCTAGACTGAGTAACAAAGGACAAAGGTGATGACTATCAGATGGAGCCACCAGAACAGCTGTAGTGGGACTTGTCCCACTTGTCCCATTGACTTTCCTTTTATAAGCTTCTCCAAGTAAAGGGATCAAGCAGAATCCTGAGGCAGCTGTTTAAGGATGGGGTGAAATTATTCTATGAAGAAAATGGACCCCAGCAAAGCAGGAGTAAACTGTTTGGATGCTACATGGCACCATCCAGGTGCCCCCTCAGGACCGCTCACTCCCCCAGCTGCTGGGATTGCTGTCCCCTGAGGATCACAGTTGAGCCCTGTCACAGGCAAAAGCAGCTGCCTTACCCAAGTTCACACTTGTCTCTGGGAACGGTTCACATCTAACAAGTGGATGGTGTGTCCCTTGCTTCATTTCAGAAAGACTGAAGGGCCATGATAGCCTGAGAACTCCCATGGTGTTGACTGAGACCTCTGTTGCTATCTCATGCAGTTCGCTTTCTCTCTCTCCCCAGATTCACTTCCCTACCCTCCCCACTTCCCTCAGGGGTGGTGTTGATCCTGCCCTCCCTCCGCAAGCCAGCTGCACACAAATCTCCATTCAAGCTGTGTTTTCCAGAGAACTCAACTGATAACACTGATACACTTAGAAATATGAAGGTAACCACCAAGAAAAGAGAAGAGGAAGAAGGAGAGGAGGAAGAAATGTTTTAAGAAGTGGTGTTCTCTAGGAAGAAGCATAGGGTGAGGCGAGGTGGGGGAGGGACAGTTGGTATTTAGCCCTCCTGTATTCTTTGTTGTTCTTGACACGTGCATATATTACTTCCATGAGTAGAACATTTTTTGTTTAAAAACTTTAAAGATTCTGATACTGTCCCTCCTCTGTTTAAAACCCTTCAATTGTTTCCCATGCCCTCAGAAAATCCATAAAAATCCATAACATGGCTCATGAATCCCTCCCTCAGCCCCCACTGAGTTCCTTGTCTTACTTCTTGCCATTCCTTCTCTCCTCTCTGTTGCCTGATGTTCTGGACTTGCCTTTTCTCTTATCTCTGGCTTCAGATATGCTGCTCCCTCTGGATTCTTTGCCTGTCCTCTCTACCTGGTTCACCCTATTCACCCGTCAGTTCAGCTTAGGCATTATCTGCTCAGGAAGATTTTCTCTGCTCCCAAACTGTCTCAGGCCCCCCCTTCTCTTTGGTTTTGAGTTTGTTTGTTTGTTTGTTTGTTTGTTTTGAGACAGTCTCACCTTGAACTCATTGTGTAGTCCAGGGTGGCCCTGGTGGTAATCCTCCTGTCTCAGCCTCCTGTGTGCTAAGATAACAGGTGTGCACCACCGTGCTCGAATTTTGGGCTCCCCTCTCTCACTCCCACAGCTGTTTCATGCCCACATTGCCTTTCTTTTCCACAAGGTCTATCTTTTTTTTTTTTATACTGGAGATCGAACTCGAGTCCTTGCGCTTTTGCAGCAGGCAGTGAAACCACTGAGCTAAATCCCCAACCCATCGACAGGGTCTATCTATCCTGTTACTGTTATAATAGTAGCACCCACCACAAAACTAGAGCAGAGTACAGTAGACATTACATATTTGCCAAGTAAGTCAAGTATGCCCAAATGTTTTCTAGAGTTCTTGCTTTGTAATCCACAACAAGTTATAAACTGTCTGAGCTTTGGTTTGCTCAGCATAAAATGGGGATAAAAATAATACCTAGCTTGGAGTATTGTTTTGAGGATTAAATGAGATATGTTAGTAAAGCCCTTAGCATAATTCCAGGATATAGCAAGCTTTTGATTAGTGCATGCTTAAAAACAAGGAAAGCTTGTGTCAACTAACCCTTAGACAAGTAGATTTGAGACTTTTACCCTTCCTAAAATTGAGTATTGTATTTTTAAGCATTTTGGCAAAGATTATAGGGGAAAATGGCATCTCATGTTTTAAACAAACACATATTTTCAAACCAAACTATCTTCTTAATGAGATGGGTCCATCCTGCTGTCACATGCCAGGCGCACCATGAAGAAAACAAATATTCAGTGCACCTCTCTCTCTTCCTGTCACAGCTTATGGGAGGAAGGAGCATCTGTGAAAGCAGATGCTAGGGACACTGTGCATGGCACAGGCAACTAAATGGCAGGTACTTATCATAACACCTTCAGGTTTTGCCAGAATCCTCTTGCTTATACTTATGTGAAGTCTGTGGGGTCCAGCTTTCCTCAGCCCATCCAAGTGGAGGCCTCTGCCTTGAACATTGCCAAGTGACGTAGAATCCCCGGGCCCCGAGGCCCCTCAACACTTCCTGTGTGGGGTACAGAAACCCGCCTCCCTTCCCAGCCTCAGATGTCTGCTTCAGAAAATGGTGAGTCTCTCCTTAGAGCACCTCCCTTTTTCATCCTAGGATTGGGAACAAAGACCCCAGGAACTTGTATCCAGCACATGTTTTGAAAATGTCCTTTTCTGAAAATGTCTTGGTTTCCTTTTCAGAATTAATAAACTGACTTACCTCCGCCATCTTAATCGAGCAAGCATCCAGTGAGTGAAAGAAGTATGCAGTCGAGCACTCTCTGGAGGGTTCTGGGACTCTGCCTACTGTCAGGTGAGTGGGATGGAATGAAGGAGGGTGGTTTCTCCAGACACTGGAAGCTCAGGGTCTTACCAGATGCACCCCAGGAATGCTAAGGAGCCTCATTTACCAGAAGATATAAGGAACTGTTTGTGCTACCATTAGACCGGGGATTGAAGATGGAGGCAAACAAAAGAAATGTGTCCAGGTGCATGGGAGACTGTTCAGGGAACAGCCAAAGAAAAGCAGTTGGGATGATCACATCAATCGAGAGCAAAGAAGTCTCTCTGCCTCCAAGAACAAGCCCGTCTGTCAGTAAACTCACCCAGCCCTTAAGAACTAACACAAAAGAGATCAGAAGATCTAAGCTCCACTTTTTGCTTTGAGGAGACTAAGTAGTTGCACCCAAACTCTGCACAGAGTATAGAAAATTTAGTATCTTTGATATAATTAAACACTTCATAGTTTTTAGTCCTTTTTCAGGTGACCGAGAGCTTTTAATTAACTTAGTCTTTTTTGAAGCAAAGTAGGATATAAATTGATGAATAACCAAGAGCACTTGAATATCTCACATGAAATAAATAATGTTAAAAAGCGCCACTTATTGAGTGCTAATTTTTTTTCCCGTACCAGGGATCGAACTCAGGACCTTGCGCTTGCCAGACAGGTGCAGAACCGCTGAGCCACATCCCCAGCCCTTATTGAGTGCTAATATTGCCTAAAGAAAAATCCTTTACTCATGTTAACTTATCTAATCCTTACCTCCACCTTAGAAGAAAGGCATTATATTCTCTGTTTTACACACGAAAAAAATTAATACTCAAATAAGGTAAGTAACTTATTTGAAATAATATGATTAGTTAGTGCTGGAGGTAATCTGGATGATCAGTGTTGCTCAGGATGGCTGCACTGTATAAGGCAAAACAGCTCATGATAATTTTGTTTCAAAGAGCTAGAAAATACCATTATAGCTGAGCCTCCTATCTCAGAGCCACAGCCGTTACGTATCCACTTCCTGCTTGGGTTTCTCAGGATTTAATATGGACTCAAATCACCCAGGGACCCTGTTAAAATGCAGCTTCTGTTTCAGGACTGAGATTCCACATTTCTAATAAGCTCCCAGGTGCATTAATCTGTGACTAGGCAAAGAATATACTTTGAGTCTCAAGGGATGAAATGTGACTCCTGCAGGGATTAGTCAGGCATTTTCTTAGAGACCAGTGGTATAAAGTAGCTCTTCATAAGAAAAGCCAAAGCAATGCAAAGCAAAAAGGAATGGGAAGGAAAAGAAAAGAAAAAGGAAAAAAGAGGACATATCAAAGACCCAAGCATCCCTAGAAATTTAGCATCATGAGAAAGTGCTCAGTCTGCTCTGGGGCTGGGAGAATGTCTCACCCAGTGTATAGGCTATTGGTACACAGAAAACTCTCAGGTAATGCCAGGGAAGCTGGTCACTGTAATGTCATTATTGAGGGGACTCTGGAGGGCCCAGAAGAAATATAATCAGGTTCTTCACTGTATAGGCTCTAGTTGATGAGTAATCAGTTTCAAATATTTCTGCCTCTGTCTCAAGCAGAAAACAAATGGAAAAACTGAGCCATCAACCTAGAAGGAGTCAGAGATGGAACTAGAACCTCAACATTTGTGCCCAGTCCAGAGCTTCTTTTTCTTTCAGTCAGAGACCAATTTTCAAAATGGAGGCTTGATTGCAAAATTCTTTTTTTCTTTCTCTCTTTCTTTCTTTCTTTCTTTCTTTCTTTCTTTCGTACCAAGGATCAAACTCAGGACCTTGTGATTTCAAGGCAGGCAGCAGAACCACTGAGCTAAATCCCCAGCAATTGCAAAATTCTTTTGCTATTTTTCTAGTCATCCAAAAAGCAGCCCCTACTTTTTCTTCTAACTTCTGTTGCTCAAATACCATGTATTCAGGTTCAAAGCAAGATTTCCCTTGCTTTCTCTCCTCCAAAATTGACCAGGTACTCCTAGTCAACACTCAACAGTTAACGTAACTCTTCTGAGTTATAGAAACCACTGTAGTGCATCAGTGGTTGGGAGGACTTTAGTGCTTCATTAATGGTCAGAATGAACCACAGTCATTTTTCTGCTTGAAATTGCAGGCAATCACAACATTTGCTAACTCTGTTTCTTTTTTTCCAGTTGGCACTTGGGGACAGGAAGGTAAGATATGTTTTCTTTCTTTGTTAAAAAATCAACTCCAAATTTTTGGTACCACCAAGCACCAATAACAATGTTTCAGTCAACAAGTGGCCAAATATACAACAGTAATTCCATAAGATTATAGCAAAGCTGAAAAATGACTATCACTAAGTATTTTCACTGTACCTTTTCTGTTTAGGTGTGTTTAGGTACACAGATACTATTGTGTTCCAGTTGTCTACTGTATTCAGTACAGTATCATGCAGTACAAGTGTATAGCCTAGGAGCAAAGGGGATACCATATAGACTAGGTATGCAGTCACTAGGTATGCAGCATCTAGGTTTGTGTGAGCACCCTCTGTGACTTTCACATAATGACAAAGCCCCCTTTGACACATTCCTCAGAATTGACTGTATTTGTGAGTGGAGCTTTCTCCTACAGAGCTCCTACAAAGACTAGTAAAAGGGGTTTCTACTATTTTCCTTTGCCTTTTCCTTATAAATCTAGCCCAGGAGAGGAAATTGACAAAGATTGTAAGAAATGAGTCATAACTGTTCAAAAGAAAAACTGAGACCGTTAAATTCAGTTGAAAATATCAACAGTTTTCATTTGTTTGCATTTCTATTTGCTGTGCAATTTTGTACAGGATGTGTGGCCAGCCAGAATGCACGTACAGGGTGACCCTGGATAAGCCTCCAGACAGTGTTTGGATGCACATTCAGAATCTCGTGTCTGAATGCTCTGAATGTGTGTGGCCATGAGTGCACATGCATACGAGTGTGCCTGGCCTGGACTTGCTTTCTCTCTCACAGCAGTAGAGTCCACAGTGTCCCAGTACTGGAAGCCTCTCTGTTCAATTAGCTCCTCTGACGTGAAGGGACCACTGTTGTGTTCAGAAGCAAGACTGTGCTAATTCACTTTCCACTGTGCTGCCTATCTGGAGGTGTCCTTAGCAACCACTTTTGCAAATAGCCATCAGATATTTAATGTAGAACATGAGGCCCCTAGCAGCTCATCATATACTGGCAAAGGAATTTGAAGATCCATTGCCTCCTAAATATTTAGGGAAGAGTCCTAACCCACAAGCGCAAAGGAATGATCATAATTGCTGATAGGAATATTCCTAATAGCTTATTGTTTCTTTTTCAGATACTGACAAAACTGGTAAGAGGATTTTCACTCTATACAATTTCTTTTCAAATGTGGATCAAGATGGCTATAGTGGACAGTCATAAGAGTAAATACTGGGAACCACAGCTGTTAGAGGGAAAAATGAGATATGCCTGTATTTGTTGTGAGCTGCACTGATTATAGTCATCCTTGTATGTATCCCTGAGCATGCTGTAAGGAGAAAACACAATGTGGGTGTGGGTTGGAGCTTCTATGTGTTTTTTAATAAGCCACAAGTTCCTTAAAGGCAGGGACAGCGTCTCATTTACTTGACCCAGGGTCTGGCTCATAGTAGATATTCAATAAATGTGGGTTTTTTGTAGTGCAAACGATTAGACCCAAAGCCTGGCGCATGCAACACAAACACTGTACCACTGAAATACATCCCCATCTCTTTTTACTTTTTTTCTTTTCTTTTTCTTTTTTTTTTTTTTTTTTTTTTTTGGGGATTGCACTTGGGACCTTGTGCTTGCAAGGCAAGTGGCAGAGCCACTGAGCTAAATCCCTGGCCCTTTTTACTTTTTAAAAAAATTTTCTAACAGGGTCTCACTAAGTTGATCAGGTAGGCCTTGAACTTACAATCCTCTTGCCTCAGCTTCCTGAGTAGCTGGAATTACAAGTGCATACCATCATGCTCAGCTCCAGTGAATTTTTTTGTTGTTTTTTTTCATTTTATTTAGTTTTTTGGTATCAGGAATCTAACTCAGGGACAAGAGCTTGCCAGGCAGACACTACACCGCTGAGCCTCATTCCTGGCCCCTCCAATGAATGTTTTTTGAATGAACAAATGAACAAAACTATGGATGTGGGCCAGGGATTTAGCTCAGTGGTTCCACTGCCTGCCTTGCAAGCACAAGGTCCCAAGTTCGAACGCTGTACAAAAAAAAAAACAACTATGGATCTTTTGCTAATTGTCTGTCCTCAAGAAGCTAACTGTCTTGAGGGATAAGTAGTGATAATAGAGTGTGTTGTGTGCAATGACATGGGAAGAAACAGAATAAAATGTAGTATAAAGAAAGGAGAGTATATCTGAGGAAGGCTATGGGGAGGTAATTCTTTAGCTGAATTTTGAGCTTGTATTCCAGGAAGAGGAATACTTTAGGCAAAGGAGATAAAAGCCACACTGTATGAGGATAAGAGTCTAACTCTGAAGTTAGATTCAAGCAGATTGCTGTGTTTGAATACTGGCTCAACTCCCTACTTTCTGGGTATTTTGAATAATTTACTTAACTTCTCTGTGCATTAACATCAACTTGTGTCAAATGGAAATATAGTAATAACAATACAGTACCTAGCTTGTAGTATTGTTACAAGGGTTGAATGAGTATTTAATTTAAGAAATCATCTGACATATAAAAGGTAGTAAGTGAATTTTAGCTATTATTATACAGAAAGCACACTGACTACATAGATAATAAGCATTTAAATTCATGGCATGTATGTTCTAGGTATTGCTCTAATGTTTTATCTGAATTTCTCCTTTTAGTTCTTCTAACCCTGGTATGAGAATGTAGCTCAGTGGTAGAGTGCTCACCCCACATGCGAAAGGCTCTGGGTTCAATTGCCAGCATAGGGGTGGGGTTAGGGGGTACAACTGATCCTTACACCAGGTGTGATGGCTGTGATCCCAGCATTCTGAGAGGCTGATGTAGGAAGATGTGAATTAAAGCTTAACCAGGGCAACTTAGCAAGACCTTGTCTCAAAATAAAATAGGGCTAAGGATATAGTTCAGTGCAAAGGCCCTGGTACCACAAAAAGAAAAAAAAATTCTTTTAGCATCCATCCCTATTCTATAAATGAAGAAACAAAGGCTTAGAAAATAAATAAGTAGCCCATTCACAGAGATATAAATGCAAATTTTTACAACACTGAAGCATATTTTTAACCATTATGAAATACTGTGAATGTGTATGAAAAATCACTATGGATACAATTTTTCTGAACACACCCACCCATTTTCAAGCATAAACATCTAGGCTCTTGAATGAATGTGTTGAGTTTAATATCTTTGCTACCAAATGTGTGCCAATAAAGGATATGAGCAATTTTCTTTGTTTCTTTTTCAAACAAACCTATCAAACAGAGTGTGATGTCTAGTTATTTGTTTTGTTTTTAGTCTTAGGGATTTAACCCAGGACCTTCACACTGAACTACATCCCTAGCCCTTTTATTTATTTATTTATTTATTTATTTATTTATTTATTTTTGGTACCGGGGATCGAACTTGGGACCTTGAGCTTGTGAGGCAGGCAGCAGAACCACTGAGCTAAATCCCCGGCCCTCACTTTTAAGTTATTATGATTTCTTGTTTGTGTAACATTTCTTTAAAAAAATCAATGCTGAACAATTAATAAGTCAAAATAATATTATCTATTGTCATTATATTCAGGCCGGGGATCTAGCTCAGTGGTTCTGCTGCCTGCCTCGCAAGCGCTAGGTCCCGAGTTCCATCCCTGGTACCAAAAAAAAAAAAAAAAATCATATTGTCATTATATTCAACTCCCAGTTATTAGCAGGTGGTGAAGGATTTCTTTATGTTGTATGTAGTCTCAGCCAGATGGCTGCCCGAACAGCTGGTGTAAGCTCAATTCTCTTCTCCATGGTAGCAGAATCCCAAGCAGTATAGGAGGAAAGAAACTAGCATTTGTCTTGACTTCCACTTTCAAAATCCACTTAATTCTCATAAAAAGCCTATTAGGAGGGCATTTTATCTCCATTTTCCTCATGAAAAGAGGTTAAATGATCTGCCCTTGCTCACACAGCTGAGAGCGGATCTGAGATTCAAACACGAGGCTCTGTCCCTGAGCCCAGCGCTCCTCCCCATAGCATGCTGTCTCTGGGCTCTGCTACCTCCCTTCTCTTCCACCCATCATGTACAGGGTCTGCCACAGCCTAGCGTTGCCCCTCATTCCAGCCACAAGCCTTCCAGGGAACAAGGACCCCCAGCCCCACTTCCCAGGGCTGTGGGGAATGTTACTTGCTCCCTAAATTACATTAGCGGACTTCAGTTGTTCACACCAATGATCCCTCCCTCTAGCAAAAATAATTGAAAGCTGATTGTACTCAGAGGTATAGTAAAGGCACTTTTTTTTTTGGTACCGAGGATCAAACTCTGGACCTTGCGCTTGCGAGGCAGGCAGGGGAACCACTGAGCTAAATCCGCAGCCAAGGCACTTTAAATTGAAAGAGCCATTCCTTTAAAATCTGTACAGCAGGGCCAAGGATTTAGCTCAGTGGCACCCTGCCTGCCTCGCAAGGGCAAGGTCCAGAGTTCCTTCCCTGGTACCAGGGGCAAAAATATCTGTAGAGCAGAGGGTGGAGATACAGCTTCATGGATGAGTGTGTCCAGCATAGTGGACTTGATCCCCAGTACTACAAAATAAAATATGTAGAGTAGTTTGTGTCATCTAATGACAACAGAGAAAATTATATGGAGCTGGGAGTGGTGGCGCACACCTGTAATCCCAGCACTTGGGAGGCAGAGGCAGGAGGATCGCCATGAGTTTGAGGCCAGCCTGAACACAAAGTGAGACCTTGTCTCAAAAAAAAAAAAAAAGAAAGAAAATTGTATGGAATAAGAAGATGTTTGATCTCTATTTTGGAAGACTCTAAGGAAGAATTTCTGAATAATAAGAAATGGATAGGGCTGGGGATTTAGCTCAGTGGTTTCACTGCCTACTGCACAAGCACAGGGACCCGAGTTTGATCCCCAGTACCAAAAAAAAAAAAAAAAAAGAAATGACAATTTGAATCACCAAGACTTATTCAAATGATTCAAATGTGTGGAGGTCTTTATCTTTGAAAAGACCTTTCCATGTATGTACGGAAGATGGTTCTGGCTAATGCAAGAAAACTTCTAGAATTTTTCACCCTTCCAACTCTAAGACTTTCTGAGTTTTGGTGGGTCTGGGTCAAGGAGTACATGCTGCTAAATTCACTATTTGATGTGTGTGAGTTGCAATATATCAATGAACATGTCTCTGGGCTAAGTACATCCCTCACTTCAAGGCTTAGGGTTCCCTGAGTAATGGCACCCACTTTGAGAATTCTGGGGGACATTGTCTAGTCCCATTAAAAAAATTTTACCTCAAGTTTAAATTTAAATCAGATTTTTTTTTTTTTTTTTTGGTACCGGGATTGAATTTGGGACCTTGTGCTTGCGCGGCAGGCGGCGGAACCGCTACGCTAAATCCCCGGCCCCAGAATTTTTCTCTTAATACTTTTCCTCTTTTTTTTTTATTTCCAGATAATGAAACACCGAATCGTGAGTTTATGGTCACTTATGCTTTGTCTGTCCAGATTGGTGGGTAGAGGAGGAGAAACTGGCTGAGAGAGATTAGCCCATGAACCAAGGATCTCTCCACTATACACGCCCAACCCCATTATAGAAAGCTTCCAAATAAGGGAGTCTTGTGAAGTTTTCTTTACTTCCATCTTCCCCTTCCCAAGTCCTCAGGTCCCTGGTGAAACCCTGAGGGCACCTTGTAGAAGCTTCTCTGGTCCCTCTCCTCCCACACATCCCCTCTCCACATCCTCTAGCCAGTAAGCCTCCCTTCTGACAAGTAAGTTCCAGGTTATAAGTGACTTTCTGCATTTGGTTAGGGGTTTTTTTGTCACTAATTTGTCTTTTTCTGAAATTTTCTTGGTTTCTCCATCCTATTTCCCATCTCTTCTCTTCCATTCCTCAGAATACAGAGTCTCCATCTCAGGAACCAGGGTAGTGGTGACATGCTTTCTGGATCCTTCAACAGACCCAATAAAATGGGAAAAAATTGATGGAGAAGAATCCGGTGAAAATGATGAACAACTAATAATTGAGAACTTTTCAGAAGTGGAGCACAGTGGTTATTATGCCTGCTATAAGAGTGACTCAGAGAAGAACCATTATCTCTACCTGAAAGCTAGAGGTAACACAAGAGGATCATTTTTAATAGCCATTCTTGCTGACTTCCCCAACCCTACTTGCAACCCCCTGGCATCTTAAGTCTTCCTCTTATACTGAATCCTGGGACTCTTCAGAGACTCACAGCATCAGTATTTTTTGGAATGCAGATATAAGACCAACATGACTTACTCAGTCAGTGCTAGGTCTTGTGTCACTCCCAGAAGCAATGGCATTCCAGTATGAATTTACCTAATTCTCCATCCATGGGCACACCTTCACAAGAACTTGTAAAAGAGATGTAACACATCTATTAAAAACCTCCTAAAATAGCTGGGAATGGTGACACACACTTGTAATGCCAACACTCAGGAGACTGAGGCAGGAGAATTACTATGAATTTGAGGCCAGCCTGGACTACATAGTGAGTTAAAAAAAGGAAAGAAAAGAAAACCAGGGGTGGGGATTTAGCTCAGTGGTTCCGCCACCTGCCTCGCAAGTGCAAAGAGCCTAGCTCGATCCCCAGTACCAAAAAAAAAAAAGAAAAGAGAAGAAAACCAAAGAAATCAAAAAATTAAAACCTCCTAAGCTGAAGCATAATAAAACAATGATGGGAACTAATATTTATCAAGTGCTTATAATATTTCAAGCATTGAACCAAAAATCCCTACACTTGCCAGGGATTTTTTTTTCATGTAATCCTTTCAACAGCCATTAAATACTATTTTATTTCCATTTTGTAGATGAGGAAACAGAGGCTTTTTGTGTTGAAAATACATTTCACAGTCCCCATAACTATTGAGTACTGAAGCTTTAACTGAGGCTTGTTTTTATCCATGTTGTTGTCAGCACATTGAAAGGAAGGGCTCTGGCCGTGGCAAGTGAGTGTGAGGGGAGAACCTCCTTCATTTGCTCCTTCCTCTTCTCCAGTGTCCTGGGGTTTCTCTTCTGGTTCGTTTCTCCTCTTCTCCCTACCCTGTCCTCTGCAGTGTGTGAGAACTGCATGGAGGTTGACCTGACAGCCGTGGTCACGATCGTCATAGTGGACATCTGCATCACTCTGGGCTTGTTGGTGCTGGTTTATTACTGGAGCAAGAATAAGAAAGCCAAGGCCAAGCCTGTGAAACGAGGAACCGGAGCTGGGGCCAGGTCCAGGGGTAAGACCTCAAAGCTGGGTCAGAGAGCATTCCCACCAGCAGGCACCCAGCCTGGGCCAGGATGGGCAGGAAGACCACACAAGGTCAAACAGCTTCTTTAGCACATTCACTCTCATACCAAGCTCTCCGGAAAAGCATGACAATGCTTTTTAACAAGATGAGCCTCCACAGAAGCCTGTCAGCGCTCTACAGTAGTCAGAGCCTATCCCCAAGCTGTGGGAAGAGGGGCCTTGGGAGTGTTAATTCCTGCCTTTCCCTTTACCCCATGGGAAGGAGCACTTGGGCTGAGAAAAGTCACAAAGTGAGGAGGATAGTGTGAAAGAAAAGATAAAAGAGAAAAAACAAACCAGACATAATGGGACATGCCTGTAATCCCAGCACTCTGGAAAGCTGAGGCAGGAGTTGGAGCCCAGCCTAGGCAACTTAGTGACTTAGGGAGACCCTGTCTCAAAGAGGGGGGGGCCGCTGGGGGTGTAGCTCAGTGTGAAGACCCTGAAAGGCAAAAGAGAGAGAGAGAGAGAGAGAGAGAGAGAGAGAGAGAGAGAGAGAGAGA